GTCATATAAGGAACCGCTCGACCAATCAGATTGCTGGAAACTCTTTGCTCAGCTCTGAAATTATACTAAATTGAGAATACGAGCATGCGAGCAGTTGCAAAACTTTTGCAAGCACGAGCAAGCGAGCGCCCGTGTAATTCTTTCGAGCAATGCGATTGGTTATACTTCGACACGTGAAAGAGCTGTGCGACATTCTAATTGGCTGTATGGCTTTTTTCACATGTGAAAACAAAACGTATAGAGTTCTACAGATGAGCTTTATGGAATAAAATTCTCGTGTTATGTGAAATAAATATTTCATAAACGTTGAAATTTGAAAAGATGGGAGAAGAGGTGAGAAAAGAAAAGGTAATTTTTTTCAACTGCAACGTGCTGTAATTACGGGTGTAGATTTATGTATACAATCGCGTGCTTTGAGATATTATTTTCTCTGTTTCGTCCATGTACTTAGTTCTTATTAACCGAGCGGGAGGTCTGTATGGGAGAATCTTGACCTCGGTCGCCAGTACAGACCTCACTGCGTTCGGTCTGTACCAGCGACCGAGGTCAAGATTCTCCCATACAGACCGACCTAGCTCGGTCAATAAGATGTTTATTATATGTATGTGTCTTATATGCCAATTTTTTATATTCTTTGTACCTTTTAATTTTTTCTAGACCGGTCTAGATACCGGTCTAGATGGGAAAATCTAGACCGCTTTCATTATTGATTTCAGCCAATCAAATTCGTGAATTCGGTAGTTCCCAGTCCTTGTGAGACACAGCCATATAATAATATCAAATATGAACAAAGTCTTTCTCTCAATGGCTGTTGAAGTTTTGATGGTCCTCAAAGTTGCGGTTTCAATGGGTAATATTTATTTGCGGTTTGTCCTGGGAAATACAATCATAAAAGAGGCGCAGTATAGGGGTGTCTTTCGCACGATTCACGACTATTAAATAGACCAAATTACGAATCACGGTAATCGATATTCTCATTTCACGCTTTACGAAGAATAATATGATAGTGAAAAAGATCTTACGGTTTTGAAAACCTTAACATCGTGAATTTCTTCCTTATTTCATGCCAAGCATCAGTTCCAATGTTTTTCTTCACGCGATGGCGCCTTTTTGTGAGAAGAAGAACAAAGAACTAAAATGATTCATACCCTTATCAGTTGTCACGCAAGATCTAAAATAAGTAGGTCACGTTAAGAACGCCCAGAGAAATTCGCGTTGCTCCATAGACGTAAGTCTTTGGCGAGTAATTTTTCACGGAAAAAACTGCGTTTTCTTTTCAGTTATCACGGAT